AGTTCTAGACATCTTAAGTTCTTTTTTTATAACATAGATCAAAAATATTGATCCAGTTGGTTTTACTCAGATTTTTATGACTTGAGATTTTATCTGTGTAGCCATCTTTGCTGCAAACAAGAACACACTATGCCTGCTGAGAACAGCTGTGCAACGGCATAGTACATTTAAACATTTGTGAGAAGGAGGAAGTGTAATCCAGTCCTAAGTGAATTTCCAGGCTTTTTTTTGCTTGAAGCAGAAAATCTCGCTTCTATCTTTTCTCAGTCGTCTGCCCCTCTATTCTCAAAGGAATACGTGGGAAAAAAGGTGTTCTAGCAGGGATACAAGTAGTTTGTGCTGTCTAAATTGATGATGTATGACACACAGATTTAAGCATTATAAACATGACTGCCTACCTTTTGACAGTCTCTTTAATTTTGTCCACCTATGCTCCTAGACTAAATAAAGCTATTAAAAACATGTGCTGTGGCAAGCCATTTTAGTCATTCATTCCTACACAAGGTAAGTTATTACCCAAGGTTGAATTCCTCCTCTGGAAATCAAGTAAAGCTGAGGAAGCTTTGCACCTGAGGGACCAGTGCCTACTCATATGATATTCGCCTCAAAATCAGAATTTACTTCAGACTATGGCTGCGGGGCTAGGCACTAAGTAGGCATGTCACTGCTTTATAGATCATTCTTAGCAGCAGTTTGAATGATTTCTCCAGTAGTTGGCTTCTTCCTGTGTTTTGGTAGCTGCAAACGGGTTTAGAGGAAGGGAAAGCAATCGCTGAGAGTTGTGTGCGCGTATCTCACTGAGTAACGATGACAGCATTGCTTCCAGAAAGTTACTGCATTATGTGAATGGCCCATATGGAGGCACTCCACTTGAGTATTGTACAGTTGGCTGAAAAATAGCAGTATAAAAATGTTTTTATACATGAGCGAGTAATAATGGTAGTAAACCTAAATCTTATATGTAACCCTCCTATGCTCTTATTTAATTTTCACTGTGTACTTACTTTATTCTTCAAAATGAAGTTGTTAACAAATCCATTAATCCCTTCTTTGATATTTTTACAACTGGGAGCTTATTTGAGGACTGACACTTGCTAATCTTAGCAGTTTGTTCGCTATGAAATGAACTTAAATTAGAGAATGCACTTTATATGCATGATAAATGCAAGATGGATAGAGAGTGTATGCAATGGTGTCAGCTACAAAAGCAAACATGATAAATGTTAAGGCAGTTTTGAGCCGTGGGATAAGCTATTCAGTGCACAAGCATAGCTGAATCTCTTTGCTGTGTTGTTATTCATGGCAGCCAAATAAATGTCAATAATAAAAGAGAATTAAAGATTTTCATTTCCCAGAGGCAGTCCTCTAATACAGCTTGATCTTTCATTTCATTTGTAATTCGTTCTCATGTCAGGATGCAATCATTCGCTGGGCTCTGTGTGTCATGTTAAGTCATTTAATAATGATTAAGAACATAAAAATGCTTGGCCTGTGGGGCAATACTCAAAAGAGATACCAATTTGTTATTGTTTTCCCCCCCTTTTCTTTCCTTCAGTGTGGATCATCTTTTTCCCACCTTCTCATATTAAAATAATAATGAAAGGAGGAAAATGGGTCTGTTAATTTAGCCGATGATGATATCAGCGAATGGCATGGAGCACTGCTAACACTTATTTCAACACTCATTAGGGCTGGTTGTGCTTTAAAACCTGCAGGAAAGTTTAAAATGTTTCTAAATGGTCTTTGGAAGATTATCTCCATTTAAGAGTAGTTACCTGTATAAAATCTGTTTCCTTTTGATAATGAACAGAAAACAGGTAACTTTTTGAAAAAGCAGGCTGTGTAGAATTTATTATACTACATTTCTGAGGAAAGCTTTTTTTTTTCTCTCAAAAAGTTTCTTCCTAGATTAAATCAGTTTTTGCAAAATAATAAGTCAAATATGGATTTGGACATACTTTTAGGAAACTCTGCTTTACATTTTGTCCAAGTTAACAGTAATAATAACAATAAGAATAAGGCCATGGTTCCAGGATGTTTTTTAGTTGAAAGGTCAGCCGTGCCCTTTCTGTCAGTAGTGACTAAGCCTCAGAAGGTGTTGTATCCATGCAAGTGACTCTACTATTTCTTTCTTTTTTTCTCCTATTTCTGTGAACTGTCCTACATAAGCTGTAGATATTACGATGGTCTCAATTTATGTCCTCTCTAAGAGTGTAGGATGGAGCTACAGCTTAAGCATGCAAGAGTGGAGAACTGCAAGAAAATGAATTTCTCCTCTTTGTTTTCTCTACTTTCTGTTCTCCTTCCCTGCCCATTTTCCTGATGGAAAGCTCTCTGCTGTCCTTCAATGTTGTGAAATCCAGCATTTACTGGGGACCACGGGAGTGGAAGTGAGAAGCGTGGAGTGGCCTGTTCGCTGGGAAGACACGGCCAGAGGGGCAGCTGCCCCTCGATCTCCTTAGTCCCTGCCCATTCACAGCAAAGCGGGACAGACACTACTGTGGCTGTAACAGCATCGCCAACGCAGCTCCCCATCTCTGCTGAAGTTTCGCTTTGCTATCTGAGACAAGGTGGCCATGGGCTATGCAGAAAGGACTGGATTTTGAGAGGAGTGCACCTCTTCCATGAGGTGTGTGTAGTTTGAGTCAGTGGAAACAAGGAGGGGATGCAGTTCGATACTGCTGTGGCAGGAAGATATGTGGGGTAAAAGGAGTTGTTACAGGTTGTCCATGAAAGGGTACAGAGTCGTATCTGCTGAAAATTGTACGTGGAACTACTTTTCTCTTGTGGGAAGCGTGGAGAGAAGGCCAAATCATTTCAGTAGAGATAACTGTGGAGACAGCTGTTGATTCTTCCTTGTTTGGGAGTAGAGGGTATTGGAGGAGCAGAGGGTATGGCAGAAAGGCCCAGATAACTTCCAAAAAGAGAGAAATTGACCAAAAATGTAGACTCTAGCTCCGATAGACGAGAGAGCGACCTCAGATTGAGACATGTGAGAAGGATGGCCTCCAGCCATCTGTCCCAGGCCTGCTGCTGAGATATTGAATCAGCTCCTGAGGTGCTGCCGTTTACCTGTGTTAGTGCCCGCCAGAAGCATGGGTGGCAGCCACGCAGATGCTGATCAACGAGTGCCTTAGAGGTCCATGCCACTGAATCAGATCATGAAAACAGTGGGAGCAATAATTGTATCGGCCAGCGCATTCTTGTTTGTCAGGCCAAGTCCTTAATCGTTTTGAATTATTTGTGTTTTCAATGGAAAAAAATCTGTCAGCTTATCATGAAGCACATTGGGTCTTTCTACTGTCTGTTTGTATCTTCTCCGTCACAACGCTCCAGCCTCAAGGCTCCTTTCCTCTCCCTTTCCTTCCTGTTCCCTGTCAGTAGGAATAATTGCCAGGAAAGGCAAGCTCAAATTCAAGCTGAATGTGTTCAGCATGTTTTATAGAGAGGAAGGGACTCTTTAGGATTGGCACACAGGAGCTGTGGCAGATGAAATGCTGACTAAATTAGCTGTCAGATTCTAATAAGACTCTATGGAGCATGTGCAAATGATCATTGTTTTTTACCTAAGATGACTGTGGAGCTTCTTGGTGACCATAAGAATTATTACAGACAAAAACATCCTATTATTTTGCAACATCAGTTCCCCAAATGATTGCATTGCTTTTGATAAAACTCTCTTAAAAAAAAAAAAGAAAAAAAAAGAAAGAAAGTAATCTGATAGACACATTTGTGATCAAAACTTTCAGTACAGATGATTATGGCTTGGAAAAGCTGCTAATACCTGAAAACAAGGTCTATAAACTTGCTTATGTGGAAGAGTTTATTTGAGGAACAGTGTCAAATTAACACCCTGCACAAATGGCCATGCTGTTTGGCCATGCTAGGCCAAAGCTGTCAGTGCTCTGGTTCCACTACCACAACCATGTTTCACAATCATATTCCTTTTCCCAGGTATGAGATTCTGTGCTTGACTGTGGGTTCCTGAGCTGGTAGGAGACATTTGTTTCATGTTTCAACACTTTTTTTTTTTTCTCCTGTGAACACAAAAATACTTATTGTGGGTTGTGGGTTTGGTGGGGTTTTATTCTTTTTTTTTTCCTTCTTCTTTTTTTTTTTTTAATGAGCTCATGCAGTCTTTATTTCAGCAGCAGGGTCTCTTAAGAAATGTACCAAAAATCACAAGCTCTGGCAACACCATATATGTCATATCTATATGTGTACTATAACATTTGTCAGAATCAAATGCTGTGAAATCTATCCCTTTTACAGAGTTGCTCATAACATTTTTAAACAAATTACTTTTAGTAAGATAGATTTTATGGCTGGTCTTGGCCCAAAGGGATATCTTTGGAAAGTCTGAGCAAAAGGTTCAGCAATGGAAAAACATACTTTTATATTGAAATATTTGCATAATTCAAAAACAGCTGAAGCTACAAACTTTAAACTTGGCTTGTTTTATGGCTTTAATAGAGGAAAGAAAAACAATCCAAATTTAAAGAAAATCACTTCAGTATTTTTCAAGTTATGAATGATGAAATCTGGCATGTTCAGGCATGAACATAGAATTTTCCATTCTTTATTCCCCAAAGTTTGCAAGACCACCTCTGTTAAGGGCACATTTGTAATAAGCTCATTTGTTAGAATAGGGCAATAAAGAATGAACTTATTATACCTTCAAGTATTGAGACCTTCTTAATTAGGACTTATTGAGTTATTGATACCGCTTATATCTTCTTCAGTTTGTGGGATACCTTGAGAATATTTCGAGAAATATATTAGCAGTGCCAATGAATGAGGTAGAATGAGAAA